GTAAAAGTGGAGGCCGCACACACTGCCACCCAAGACCTGAGGGACGAGACTCGTGGGCTCGTCAATAGCGTGTTGGCAACGATTTGCGAGGAGGTCGCGAAACTTAAGGAGGGGTTGCTTGGGAAACTAAGGGACATCCGACCCAAGGTGGAGTCAGTGAAGGAGGATGTCATTTTATGCAAGAAGGAAGTAGTGACCGAGAGTGTCACTATCCAAAAGGGGCCAAAGATGGAGGTCTCAAAGCCACAGAAATTCCATGGGAAGCGAGACGCTTGAGAGATTGATAACTTCCTATGGGGCGACGAGAGGTACTTCGACGCAATGAAGCTGGATGACGATGCATCAAAGATCAACACCGCCACAATTTACTTGGGCGAGGATGATGTCCTTTGGTGGAGGCGTCGGGAGTTGGACATCAAGAAGGGGACTTGTTCCATTAGCGCATGGGACGAGTTCAAGAGTGATTTCAAGCGTTAGTTCTATCTGGAGAATGCCAAGAAGGTCTCCATGATGAAGCTACATGACTAGAAGCACACTAGCACCATCAAGGAGTACATCAGGTAATTCACATCCCTAATACTTGAGATCGATGATCTATCAGAGGAGAACCAACTCATTTACTTCACCGGAGGTCTACAACGATGGGCTCGGCAAGAGGTTGAACGAAGGAACGTGAAGACACTTGCTGAGGCAATAGCAGTGGCGGAGTTCTTGATCGAGATACCGAAGGAATCGAGAAGAGACAGGGGCAAAAGGGTCGAGGAAGACGACAAGGAGGATGAGGAGGCATCGCATCCAAAGGCCAAGTATGCGGATCATGGCAAGGACAAGGCCAAGTCCAAGTCCAAGTGGGAGTCAAAGGGGGACGAACGAGACGGAGGTAAGCCCTTAAAGACTTTCAAGTATTTCCTTTGTGAGGGTCCGCATCTAGCAAGGAATTGCCCCGGGGCGGCAAAAGTTGAATGCCATGATCGCAAGAGAGGAGGAGTCAGCTCCGAAGATGAGTATGGGGGCAATAGTCCTAGGGGAGAAGGCCCAGCTAGCCCGCATGAAGCTCCTCAATGCTACGAGTGCTGAGGAAGGTGTGCCAAAGGGTGAGGCATCCTCAACACAAAAGCTGATAGGACGGGCGTCAAGCAAGGGAGTAGCTTGATGGTCGTAGAAGGGGAAGTTAACGAGGTACCGACAAGGCTGCTTGTGGACACGGGAGCGTCGCACAATTTCTTGGCTAAGGAGGAACCTAAAGTGTCACGGTTCGGGAGTTTGGAACCCGAACCGTGCGGCGCGCTCTAGCCTTTTGGCGGCAAAAGCACAAGCCTTGAGCGGAAGAGGGGCTTGTGAGCACAAATGTAATTCCCCGTATTTTTAAATATGTTATAAATGAAATTTAATTTTATTTATAATATTATATTGTTTTGTATTTTTTCGTAATTTAATTTCAAAATATTCAAATTATTAATTAGGGTCAAAAATTAGTTTAGTACAAATCATTTTATGAACCTTCATTTTAAAATTTATTTCAATACAACTAAAGTTTAGTCCATTTCATTCATTTGGCCCATTAATTTTATGAGGCACAATCTTTCTCTTTACCCTACAACATTCTCCCCTATAAATACCCCATTAATCCCCAAAAGTTTCCCACACAAAAAGGTTAGTCTTATTTTCTCCTTTGTTTTATTAATTTGTGTAATTATAATTATTGATTTATGGGTTTTGATTTTATTGTTTGAAATTAATTTAATTAGTCTCAAATTGTATTTTGATGATTAAACTTTATAATTTCAGATTTTATAAATGGTCATAATTTTCAGATTTTGTAAATTTTATAACCTAGGGTTTTTAATTATTGAAAATCATGATTTTAGGGTTTTTATGAACAATTGATTTAAGGCTTTTATAGTAGTTATGTTTTGAAATTTTGGTGATTATAACTAATGATTAGTTTAACTTAATTCCAGATTATTTTGAACACTTAAATTCGAGTTTTAATTTTAAGATTTCGGTTCATTAATATTAATCTCGTTTTAATCCCGATCAGATTCTGAACTCACCTGATTTTGTTAAAAGTTTTTCATGTGGAAACAACATTTTAAGAAGGACTCACTACCTTTGGTAGTGAGCACCACCCTCTCGTGGCCAAATTCAACCTGTAAATATGATTTTCGGGCAGTTTTTTATTTTAACGAAGTTTTTTTTATACTTAAAATATTATCCTTGAATTTAATTAATAAAATTAATTATGTTTAAAGTTAATTAAGCATAAATATATGTTTTATTGAAGTTTTAAGTGCTGAAAATAGTTTCTAAGTATTACTTTTGAGGTTTTATAAAGAGGGTTTAATCACCCATTAAAAAGGGAGATTATTAGGGGTTTTTAAATAATTTTAAGATTTTTATTAAACTTTAAACTTGCTGTAATTTCACGTATAAGAGTGTATTTTAAGGTTTTTTCGATGAAAATTTAAAGAACTATATATAAGCCTTTAATTTTAACTAAAGGGAATGTCTTAAAGTGTTGTTTGATTTGGATTTTGAAGGTTTTAAAGTAAGTTAGTATTGCTGTAAATTTGATTGATTGGGTATTGATTGAGATGTTATTATTTGGTTTAGGAGAGGAGTTTATTGAAGGTGATTTCTAGATAGTAAAGTGGCATACCAATTCGTTTACTCAAGGTACATACAAGTTACGAAACCTTGCTTTTATGTGTATGTTCACTACAACAATTCACCACTTGTGTCACGAATTGTGCCACGAATTCTAAATTCGTTGCATGATTTGATCTTACCACGGGAAAAATTAAATTCAATAATAAACTTGATATGACAACAAATATTATGCCACGGGAAAAATGATGTTCGTTGCTAACTGAAACTAGTGCCACGACTATATTTTTTTCTCGTGGCAAATAAACACTTATCCCACACGTATTTATATTCCCGTGGCAAATAGATAGTGATGCCACGACAATATTATTCTCGTGGCAAACAAACACTTGTGTCACGAGTATTTTATTCAATGTGACAATCATTATAACACTTGTGCCACATCAAAATTTATTTATGTGGCAAACATATGTTAATATAAACCGACCAATCAACCATATTTCTTTTAAAGAAAATAAACTAAGTCTAATGATAGGAATTTTACGACAAAATTTCTTTTATTATGGTTAAATTTACAATTAGTTTCAAACATGAAATACAAATTAATATGTAAAAAATAAAAATAAAAATTCTTTCAAATAAAATTGTTGGTTATGCACTATTATAAATTTATAACCATATGACATTTACCCAAATAATATTAAAATAAATTTGTTTAAAAAATGTGGTATCTTATAATTATTGATTATTTAAAAAAAAAACAATGTAGTGTAAAATGGCCAAAAAAATATTTTCTTTTGCATTTTATTAATATTAATTTTGTTTTTTTTTTAATTTGCATTTTTTAGAGCATTAGCTTAGTCTTGTCAAATTTATGAATATATTTGACATTAAAAGTCATACGTTACAATAATTCTGAACAAGTAGAGCAGTACCAATGCAAAATACACTAGTACACTATCTACGGTTTTATTCAAGCCTTTTGCTCTGGTTTTTAACCGCAAAACTAGGAGTAACACATAGGAACATGTATTTGCTACAATCCAAAATCATAGCATTTTTGACCTAATTGCTACAGTTTTATGAAAAAAAACATAGCCTTTTGCTTCACACGGCTTTTGCTTCAGCCACCTTCACGTCCCACTGCCCTGATGGACCCCTGCAGCCATAACAGCACCAAAAACATCCCTGATCACTACCCCAAACCACACCCAAAGTCACCTACAAAGGCAGCATCAACATTAACCTTTAAGAGTCCTGCATATGTTGTCCAATCGACAACAGCCTTCACTAGTAGAAAAATACAAAAAGGCACCGCTCTATGGCCACCGGTTTTCGAAAACCGGTGGCTTAAAAAATGGGCGGGATAGGCTAATTCACTAACCGGTGGCATAAATGGTAAAGGCCACCGGTTTGAACCCGTGGCAATAATCAATTAAAAAAAAAAGCCCCCCTTATAAACAACCAAACCCTACCTCGTCCTCTCAGCCGCTCTTCCTCTCTCCTACTCTCCCCTCTCCTCTCTCTATCTCCTGTTCTCCCCCTCTTTTCTTTCTCTTTCAATTCGATAGTCTTCTCTGTTCTCATCTCCTTCTTCTTCGATCTCCTTCTTCAATCTCCTTCTTCAATCTTTGCTTAACAATTCTCCTTCGATGTCTCCTTCTCTTTCATTTCCACCATCACCAAGACCACCACCGCAACAATAAACCACGAAGACATGCACCACGAAGACATGCATGAGGTTTGTGTTTAATTAATCGATTTTTCTTGGTTAATTAATCGAATTTTGTTGGGTTTAACTGATTGATTTTTCTGGGTTTAATTAATCGTTTTTGGAATTGTTTGAGTTTCTTAATCGATTTTAATTTGATTTTTAATCGATTTTAATCAATTTTAATTCTGGGTTTTTGTTTTTTGAGTTCGTGAATCAATTTCTTGGTTTTTTTTTCCTCGGTTTTTTTTACTTATTTTTGGGATTTTGTTTTTATTTTTGTTTAATTTTTCTTCTGGGTTTTTGTTTAATTACTAGTTATTGATTTTCTGGGTTTTCAGTTGTTTTTGTTTTTATTTTTGTGGGTTTTTGCATTTCAATTGTTATTCTCTTTCTCTTCACCTTCGTCTCCTTCTTGCGCGGCTTATTTTAATCGGTTTTTTTTTTTTGTTTTGATTGATGCGGGAATATTATTGATTTAGATCTTAAATCGAATCGAAAAATCAAGATGAAGAATATTGTTTTTTTTATTTATATTGTAATTTATTTTATTTTTAATCGATTTTAGTTTTGTGTAATTTGATTAATTTAGTTCTTTTAAATTGGAATTGTTGTACGAGTAATTTATTTGTAGTTATTAATTTAGTTTTTCACTCTTAAAAAGTGTACAATTACTTAAATATTGACGAATATATACGTGTTTTATGTATATTATGCATGTAAATATGTTTCTGCTACATTTTAATTGAAAAAAATGCAAATATTTTTTTTTTTTTTTTTTGCTTTTTTAGGGCATTATTGCCACCGATTAACCGCTGGCAATAGTTATTAATACAAATAAAAAAAATTGCGGGAAGGCTTATTGCCACCGGTTAACCGGTGGCAATACTTGATTTTGCCACCGGTTTTGAACCGGTGGCTTTGCTTCAGTTTATTGCCACCCCCCAAATGACCACCGGTTCAAAACCGGTGGCATAGGCGGGTTTTGAACCGGTGGCCAATTGATATTTTCGTCTAGTGCTTCCCTGAACCAACAGCGGCAGCACAGCAGAAACCAGGCTTGGAATTTCTAGTCTTTATAGCATAGCTCAGCACTTCCCCATAGTCCTTACACTCCCCCTCCATGATCTGAGAGTTCCTAGCACCACAAATAGCCCAGCAAATGGCTATAAAGTTTGCTACATCAGAGTCATCCATCTTCAAAAAACAGGATTCCTTAATCCTTCTTCCCTTCTCACCTAATACAATCAATCAAAATAACAAAATCAGAAACAAAGAATTGAAAAAATCGAATCCAAAACACAAAAGGGGTAAATTACGAAGAAGATTCTGGATATAAGTAGCCCTAATGATGATCTACGTGCACATAGGAGTAACCCTAACTTTGCCACCAGAGTAGCTATCTTCAGTGAGTTCTCTACTTAAAACTTTATTTAGTTCAGCGTAAATGACACCATCAGAACCGAACTTTCGGTTCTTGCTCATCTGAGTAGCCATTGTAGCAGAAACCAACTTGTTTTCGTAAAAGACCCAACAATATAGCACTCCTGAAATGAACCAACCATGAAATTCAGAATTGAATTTCAGAACTAATTTCAAATCACAATCTCTCAACTAATTTCAGAACACCGTCTCAGAACTAAATTAAAAATAATTATCAGGACTTATTTCAGAGCTGAATTTCAAAACTAATTTCAGAACTGAAATTTAGTACTGATTTCACAACTAAAAAACAGAACTGATATCTTGAAATGAACTTTAGAACTATAATTCAGATCTGATTTCAGAGCTGATAATCAGAACTGATGTTTAGAATTGATAGGCTACATAATTCAGAAACATATTAGAACTGCATCTTAGGCTGAATTAAAACACCAATGTTCCAGCTTATTGCCTCGTAATGTCCTGATGAATTTATCATATTTCTCCTTCTCCGGGAACAATTTCTTCACTGCCTTCAGGTAAGCTAGGGCATTGTTGGTCATTTATCTGGTGTAGGTACACTAGCCCTATCACCTCCGGCCATTTGAGGCTGCCCCATGATTCAACTGCCAAAATTCTGTAAAGTGAAAAATAGGGGCCAGATTCATATATGATTTACAACAGAACTAAGATTTTGGGAAAGGAATCGAAGGATGACACATGTGAATAAAAATAACCCGATGGTAGTTCAGAAACACCAGCAGTAGAATACAAAAGCTCATATATAAAGCAATGTCTCATATCGTCTATAGTCTTAACCTCATCCCCTTTTATCAACCCATTCCCACTTTTAATTAAAGAAAATATATACAAATTTAGAATGGTAAGTGAAAATAAATCAGATTAAAAAATGACTTTGGCAGCATATATTAAAACATTAAACCTAACACATAGCATATATGAGTTGTGGTTGTCACAGAAAGCCCCTCTCTAGAATTCCAATTTTAAGCATACCTTTGAAAAGAAGACTAACGTTCTTAGTTTCTTACTTCCCACAATAATTTATCGTTATATGACTCCTTCATAAGAGTTGAACTACCTTTATTGTAAACTATTTTAGCAATCAAAATTAACATAAAAAGGAATAGCTCAAATTATGATGCATTATGATTTTTTAAGACAAGCAACAAAGCATAAAGGTCCTATATCCAACCAAACCATACTAGTCTGAGTAATACTAACAGCAGCTAATTTAATACATGTCATAGTTATTAAACTATGCAAAAGCTTAACAAAATGGAGAACAATGTGGACACGAATTAAGGATCAAAGGTAGAGATAATCCATGATAATCCATGATGGTTTATAGCATCAATTTTAGGACTAAATAATCTGCTTCTACCACTACCAATATAATCCATGATTATGGTGTAACAAACACCAAACATAACAAAATTGGTAAAAAATAAAATGAGAGAAACAAACACTCAGATAATCTACAGCAAGAAAATGCAAAAAATTAGAACCAACCATCCAAAACAATCTGATCGTTGAAACCATTAATTCAATATGATCATTTTCCAGATTTATCATACAATGAAAAAAATAGGAGAGAGGAAGAAGATTAATTCGTTTTGCTACTTTCAATAGATTGAAAAACAAATTAGAAAAGAAAGAGCCTATTGGTAAATTTGCTCTTAATTCGTGTATTGATTGAATATCAATAAAATCAATTTCAAAACATCCAATTACAAACAATCTCATTTGTGCTATTTGATTGAATTGACTCAATTTCATTCGTGGTTTTGCACTGAAAAATTATATTTGAAGTATGGGAAAAATTTGAAATTAACTCAGTTGACACTTAGGAGAATATATAAGGATGAATAATTTAAAGATACAAACCCTAGATTGTGAAATTGTTAGCATCAAATTAACAAGATAAAACCCTAAATTTCATATTATTATCATCAAATTAACGAGATTGATTAACCCTATATTGTGAAAATTGATGTAGGATAAATAGATAAAGAAGCAATATCTTACCTTAAAAGTTGTTTCAATGGAGGAAATCAAGAGAGGAAGCCACCCGAATGGAGACCGTGGAAAGCTGATGGAGAAAACGCTAGAAATCGGTAGACACTAGAGAATGGAGAATGGAAAATGGAGAATGTAGTAGAGAACCGAAGAACAGGAGGGAGTAAGATTTTATTTATTTATTTTTTACGATCTTTATTTTTTTATTGTTGGAGGGAATTTTTCACTAGTTGATAAATATTTGGAGGTAATTTTCCCACAAATTTTGTTGGAGGTAATTTTCCCACAAATTTTTTTTTATCAAATTATATGCTTTATCAAATTAAGGAGGTAAGTTTCCCTCCTAATTTTCACTTGTAGCTTTGTAAAATTAAATTAAATTTTTGTATTTTAAGATTAGCAATTCTAGGTATTTACAAATCCCAACAACTCCATTTGTAAAATTATAATTCTATATTACAATTATCAATAAATAAATATAAGAATTGAATTGCTAATAAATTTATTACATTAGTTTTGTGGTCTTGTAATATATAAATATATAATTGAATAGTATAAATATATATATGAGCATAGTTGCAAAACTGCACATCAAGTGAGCTATACTAAAGATTAAACTATTACACAGCTGATAGCTCGATTAGTTTTAAACTATTACATAGCTTATCGTATTAAATTTGAATTCAAGTAGCTTATCTCGAATTGAATACCCTTATTATGAGTTTGTCATGATAAAAAATAATTAGAATTAGGTTGTTAAAACATGCTTTTAAAATAAGATAAAATTACTCTAATAATCTTATTTGTTAGTCAACTTTAATGGGAATTGCTAAGAGAATCCCATTCAACTTTTATGACTTGAACTGATGATAATGACCCGATAATTTTAACCGACCAGAACCAACCCATTTGTTATTTGAACCCATTATAACTCGAAATTGATAAACCTAATCCAAAACAGAACCGCATTGACTGAACTGAACTGAACTAAACTGATTGGAGCTGAAATGAACTAAATTGAAATTAAGCTAAAATGATATTCACACAATATATTTTTTAAAAAAATTGATTATTAAATGTAAGGAAATATTATTAAACTTCAATTCTAAATGTTCTAATACATATGGTTCTTGTTGGTCTCAACTATGAAGATTAAATATAAAACAAACGTTTCTAAAGTAATTAACATGGTCTTACATCAGTTACTTGTAACCCACATACAATAACTAGATCTAAACTTGACCCAAATACTCGTGTTGTCCACTCTAGTTACATGATAATGTAATAGTTAGTAATTATATACTCCGTAGTATTGTGTGTACTTATTGTCGGAAGTTAACACAATTAACATTTTATCAATAATCAAATTTCAGTCATTACTTTTATATTTCGAGGATACTTATTATGGGGTTATTTATTCAAGGGTTATCTGGTCTGTTAGGGGTTAGTTATTCATGGGTTACTCAGTTGGTTATAAGTTAGTTATAATAGTAACCTTTGACCGATCAAGTAACTCCTTAAATAAGTAATTTTGTTTTTTAATTTTTTTTTATTAATAAGCACCTTTATAATATATATATATATAGTTTTTACTTTTTTTTCTAGAGGAACAATATATACTACATTCTTTGAATATATATATATATATATATATATATATATATATATATATATATATATATATATATATATATATATATATATATATATATATATATATATATATATATATATATATATATATGGGAGGGATCATGTGAGAACCCACCCCTTAGGTGAGAACCCTCTTAAAATAAGAACCAATCTTACACCATCAATTTTGAGATTATGGATGGCTGAGATTAATTATCACTTTCCCATGCATTTTCTTGGGAACACGCATTTCAGTCATTAGTACATGTTTTTTACTTTTTTTTTTTCCTTATTTTCTGCATTGAAACACCGATTTATGTACTATAAAACCAAGAGATTCAGCCATTGAAGAGAGAGAAAATGGAAAATCTGGTTTCATTTTAATTTAGCCATTGAAGAGAGAGAAATGAAGGCAGATTTCAAATGAAAATTTCTCTCTCATAAAGAAAGCTTTTGAAGCGATTTTTTTTTAATTTGATTATTTTTTTGTGTAGAATAAGCATACAAAATTTCATAATTTTTGGAGTTCGTTTGATATATTTTTGGGTAGAATTTTCGAAGTAGTGCAAAAAAGGAGCAAATCTGGAAAGACGGATTTCAAATGAAGATTTCTCTCTCATAAAAAACCCTTTTGAAGCGATTCTTTTTTTGAATCTGCTTATTTTTTTGTGTAGAATAAGCATACAAAATTTCTGAATTTTTAGAGTTCGTTTGATATTTTTTTGGTAGAATTTTCGAAGTAGTGCAAAAAAAGAGCAAATCTGTATGTGATACAATAGTTGAAAATTCTGGAACGACATATTTAAAATTCGAAAACTAGGGGCATATCATGTAATTGGAACACTAGTTCTTATATATGGAACAATATATAATATTTATGGGACAATAATTCATATTTCTGGAACAATATAAATTGTATTGACAATAACGGGCATATCATCCAATTGGAACAGTATTAATTACTTATTTTATTGTATTAAAGGAATAATTTTGAGATGTTTCAAAAGATGTTATTATTGTTTCAAAAAGACTTGTCGCTGTTTCAATTAAAAAATGTAATGTTACATTGAATTGTGTTGTCAACGTTAAGTTAAAATGTAGTTGAAGTGTACGTTAATGATGTTTCATAAAATATATTAAGTGTTTCAATTTATAATATTAATGTTTCATATATATTATTGTTTGTTTCATATAGTTGGGCTATATATGAACTAGGTTTACTGTGATTTCTTATACCTTATTGATGTTTAAAAAAACATACCTTATGTTTCATTTTATACTACTTATGTTCCATAAAATATATGTATTGTTTCATATACTAATGATATTGTTTTATACATAATATAATATTTCATTCGGATATTATTTATATTGTTCCAGAAATATGAACTATTGTCGCATAAAACAATATCATTAGTATATGAAATAATACATATATTTTATGGAACATTAGTAGTATAAAATAAAACATAAGGTATGTTTTTTGAAACATCAATAAGGTATAAGAAATCACAGTAAACCTAGTTCATATAGAGCCCAACTATATGAAACAAGCAATAATATATGAAACATTAATATTACAAATTGAATCACTTGATATATTTTACGAAACATATTAACGTACACCAACTACACATAATGGATGGCTGAGATTAATTATCACTTTCCCATGCATTTTCTTGGGAACACGCATTTCAGTCATTGGTACATGCTTTTTAATTTTCTTGGAAACACGCATTTCAGTCATTGGTACATTTCACACATATGGTATGGAATAATGTATAATATTTATGGGACAATAGTTCATATTTCTGGAACAATATAAATAATATTCAAATGAAATATTATATGAAACATCAATGATTTTTACGTATAAAACAATATCATTAGTATATAAAACAATACATATATTTTATGGAACATAAGTAGTATAAAATGAAACATAAGGTATGTTTTTTAAAACATCAATAATGTATAAGAAATCACAGTAAACCTAGTTCATATAGAACCCAACTATATGAAACAAGCAATAATATATATGAAACATTAATATTATAAATTGAAACACTTGATATATTTTACGAAACATCATTAATGACACCAACTACACTTAATGGATGGCTGAGATTAATTATCAATTTCCCATGCATTTTCTTGGGAACACGCATTTCAGTCATTGGTACATGCTTTTTTAATTTTCTTGGGAACATGCATTTCAGTCATTGATACATTTCACACATATGGTATGGAACAATGTATAATATTTATGAGACAATAGTGCAAATTTCTGGAACAATATAAATAATATTCGAATAAAATATTATATGAAATATCAATGATTTTTATGTATAAAATAATATCATTAGTATATGAAACAACACATATATTTTATGGAACATAAGCACTATAAAATGAAACATAAGGTATATTTTTTGAAACATCAGATAAGGTATAAGAAATCACAGTACACCTAGTTCATATAGAGCCCAACTGTATGAAACAAGCAATAATATATATGAAACATTAATATTATAAATTGAAACACTTGATATATTTTACGAAACATCATTAACGACGTACACTTCAACTACATTTTAACGTAACGTGTTTCAATGCAATAAATAATAAAAAGCATATAATAATGACAACTTTTGGCAGATTTTGTGTCCCAATGCACAAAAATTAAAAAAAAAAAATACAAACAATCATTACAATTAATGAAGGTGGCCCACGTGAATTCCCACTAATGAAACAATAAATCTGAACCATTCATCTAATAAAAATGAATGGTGTTAGATGAGTTCTCATTTTAAAATGGTTCTCACCTAAGGCATGGGTTCTCACATGATCCCATATATATATATATATATATATATATATATATATATATATATATATATATATATATATATATATATATATATATATATATATATACCACCTTCGAATTAGTTGTAAGTTTGAAGCATTATTATCGAGATATAAATTATTCCAAAGTTGCAACTACTAAAAATCGAAGGTAGTATAATTAATGTAATAATGAATAATCATACATGTGTAATAAAAAAAATAGAATTAAGCACTTAAAATTAAATAAAAATAAAACAAACACAGATCAACAAAACACAAAAAAGATTAAAAAGGACATAAGCTCATTATGTTATACACTTATAATGATACTTATATAAAGTATCACTTAATCTTAATAGTTACCCTATTAAAAAAAATAGTTCACAGATTAGGTACGTAGCTAATTACCCCAAACAAAAACATCTCACAAACATTACCCCCCTCACAAATCCCAAAATTGATTAGGCGCTTAATTTCTTTTTAATTAGCCGCCACTTATTAAAAACTTTAGCAAAACCACAAAATTCCCCTCAAAAATCAGAAACCTTCCTATTAAAAAAAAAATTCAGAAACCTTGTTTGCTGAAGTATCATAACCGTTCGTTCGAAGGACCCTAATTCGAAGATTCGACTAACGCTCAGAAGATCAATTCTTGGACAAAATATGATCAATATCCTCAAATCAGTTGATAAACTCAATCCTTTAATATACTTCGGACTTACAGTCCATAACGAGAATATCTGAGGGGAAAAGAAAAAAAAAAAAATCAAATTTCACAGTCAAATCATGTTAAAATCTGAAGCTGATATTTCCAATGATGTCTTTATGTCGCTAGATATTCCATATTACCTCAGTATATGCCATATCATGTAGCAGGAAAAAACAATATACTATGATAGTTGACATTAAAGGCCAATTTTTTAGAAGGTTGAACCATGAATTTGAAGCTCCCTCTTTGGAATTTTGCAATTTATCAGTGTCAGCAATAAGGGGAAAAAGGACTTTACCTCTAGAAAATTGGTTCTTGAGAGAATACACTTGGAATTTTGTCTGTAAAAGTATATTCAGATGTATAACAAAAGATAGACAAGAAAAAAAGGCAGAAAGGTACAATAATTTATTGTAAAATTTGAAGAATAATTGCATGTATTGATGTATACAGAAACCCGACAAATTCAGTTGGCAATATGGCGTTCTAGCCGTCGTGAATTATGTATGACTACTGAGTAATTATTATTAATTTTTTTTTATTATTATTATCACTTTTCAATTTTTTTAATAACTAGCTCTCTTTGCATTCATAGCTTTTATTTTCACATGGATACTCCGGAAGTTCAAAAGAGGTTAGAGTGGATGAGGTGAGCTAATAGGACAGACAATCTATATATAAATGGAGTTAATTCCTTTCTTTAATTTGCTTTTGGTGACTTAGAAACAAATAGTGATTTAGGAGAGGAGGAAAAGAAGGTACCTTGCCCTTGTAATCGATGCAACAATGGTCCACATAAAACAAGGGACGAAGTTTACACCGACTTGATAGTGAATGGAATCGTGCAAGTTTATATTCGTTGGATCTATCATGGAGAATTCAAACCCCCACAAAAGAAAAGTAGAAATGATTTGGGAGATAGTGCTCATAATGATATATTTAGAATGATCCATGACAGGTTTAGTCTCGGAGTCTCTAATAATGATGACATAGATGACATGTTAGATGAGGAGCAACAACCTAATGAGTTTGATCAACCTAGATATAAAAAGGATACAAAAGTGGCAAAAATGTTTGAAAATTTGATGAGAGATGCTCAACAAACTTTATACCCCGGGTGTAATGAATTCTCTAATTTGTCATTCATTTTGAAGTTATTCCAAATCAAATGTATGGATGGCATGACTAATAAAGCTTTTACTAGTATGCTTCATATGTTCAAAAATGCTTTGCCTAAAGGTGCTGATTTGCCATCAAATTATTATGAAGCACGTAAGAAGATTACTAATCTTGGTTTCGATTATGAAAAAATAGAAGCATGTGAAAATGATTGTATGCTATTTTCGAAAGAGAATACTAACCTTGAAAAGTGTTCCATATGCGATACTAAGCGTGATAAAGCTTCTCCTAAAGTGTTACGCTATTTCCCACTAACTTTGAGGTTGCAAAGGCTATTCATGTCGTCCAAAACAGCAAATGAGATGCGGTGACACTCTGATAAACGAGAAGATGATGGAGTACTTAGACACCCAGCAGATAGTGAAGCTTGGAAGAATTTAGATAAAGAATATCCTACTTTTTCTGCAGAGACTCGTAACGTTAGGTTGGGTTTAGCAAGTGATGGATTTAATCCATTTGGCGGGCTTAGAAATGACTATAGTATATGGCCAGTAGTGGTTGTTGTGTACAATCTCTCTGCATGGATGTGTATGAAACAACCTTACACAATACTATCTTTGTTAATTCTAGGGAAAAGTGGATCGGGAAATAACATTGATGTGTATTTGCAACCATTAATCGAGGAGTTAAAAGAATTGTGGGAAAATGGAGCTCAGACTTATGATGCTTCAAGGAACGAGTTCTTTCAAATGCGTGCTTCATTGTTATGGACCATAAATGATTTTACTGCGTATGCAAACTTATCTGGGTGGTCTACCAAAGGCTATAAAGCATGTCCTCATTGTATGAAAGAAACTAGCTCTGCTCGGCTACCAAATCAGGAGAAATGTTGGTACATGGACAATCGTCAATTTTACCTACCGATCATAAATGGAGAGATAATAAATCCTTCAACGGGAAAGTAGAAAAAAGAAGTCCTCCTAGAAAATTATCTTCCAATGAGATTTTAGAACAACTAAAGGACCTTGAAGGCATGAAATTTGGTAAAACAATGAAATTGCCAAAGAGGGATGAAAATTGGAAGAAGAAAAGCATTTGTTTTTGTTTTTTAAGCACGAATTGTATCTGTTGATACATATATCCATGAGTTTCTGAAAAACCTTTGTAGCTATAATTACTTATTTTTTCACACTTTGCATTCGTGTTTTTTATTGGCTTATTTGAATAGATATATGTCAGGATGCCTTTGTTTTATGAATAGTTATTGATAAATGGTCAATATTATTTCACAGCACTTGTACACCATGTGTATAGTAGGTGGCAGCATCTTTGCATTAGGGATGTAGTGGATGGTAGTTGATGAGATTAGGCAGTCAATGTGCTTTACATTTCTGCAATTGTAAAATTGTCTAACCCTATTTTTTTTAACTTTTGTAAATGCAGATGAATGAGTATGAAAAAAAGAGGCTTCTTACAATAGAAACCAACAAAAACAGACTCAAGTCGTTGGGCATGAAACGAATCGCATCCTCTTTGTCAAGCTTGGTTGAAGGGACAAAAAAAAGAAAAAAAAGAAAAAAAAATGCTAGCGTGGAAGATGATGAATATGTTCCCACAAATGATGAGCTTGAGGTTCAGGAACGTGAAATAGAACCTCAAATTAGGTTTACAAGAAAGGTATAATTTGAACTTATAAGTATGATTTATTAAGTTTAAATATAATCAACCTCTATAGTTCTTGTTATTTTTTGTTAATAAATTTGTATCAGGCTAACATAAGACATTTGAGAGGAGGAAACAAAAAAGGCAATTTCATTCCACCAATGTCAGTGAAAAAGTTTCTAAAGACGAACAAGAAAGCACAAGAAACAATGGCCATGGATATCTTAGAAAAAGGTACTTCATTCTTGAATTTGGTTGTTAGCTTATTACTTTCAATTTGATTTTATTGGTTCCTTTCTAATTGGTTCAGAGAGCTATTTGAAAAATCTAAGCTTTATTTGGTTAAATGTTTCATTTTAGTTTCGTAGCAGACTAGCAGTATTGGAAATTTAAAAGATCTAAGCTCTCTTTGGTTGAATGTTTCATTTTAGTTTTGTAGCAGTATTGGAATAGATAAGCTGATTTGCTAAAGCCGATAATAGAAATTAAAAGAACACAAATTTAGCTTTAGTTAGGTAGGGGAATGAGTGTGCTGCAAGTAGGTAGGGGAAAGGGGGCAGGTGCTTGTGAAGAGAGTGGGTAGGTGCATGTGTAGACAGGGGGGCAGTTGTAGGTTCGAGGGTGTTGGGGCATGTGCAGGGAGGTAGGGGCAAAGTTGCAGGGGCTAGGTCAGGTGTAGCAAAGAGGAAGTTTTCCTAATTCCTGGAAAAAGGGATCATCGATTAGTGACTTGCTATAGACTAAGTAATCTTGCTGTAAACTAATAAAACAGTAAAATAATTAGTTTTGTTCTCTTTTGTTGCTCTGTCTTCTTTTTTGTTGCTTCCCAAATTGATGTTACCGCTGCCCTGCTCCTGTATTCTTGCGCCTGCTCCTGCTGATCCATTGCATGACTTTATTGTTGTTACAACGTGTGTTACTATAGTTATTGTTTTCTCATCTTCGCCTTTTACAATAAAAGTATTAGCAGTTGATAAGCATGACTTCGACTTAGAGAGTTAAAACTTTTTTTTTTTTTTTTGCTTTGTTTTCCTCTAAAATGGTCAGCAAACAACATATATATATATATATATATATATATATATATATATATATATATATATATATATATATATATATATATATATATATATAAATTAAAACATTTTCATTAATAACTAGGAAAAATTTACACTTTTCTTACTTTTTCTTTCTGAATTACATATAGGGAATGGGGTGGGGGCAGGAAAATGAACTTAAGAATCTAAAAAAAGATGCATTCACCTGCTGAAACAGCTACTTCACAGAGTCTGATTTAGCATATAGAGTCTGATTTAGATGCTAGAACTGTACGCTAATCTAAGTAGATAGCTACCCTTAACACTCCTAGTTTGAAAGTCGAGTTCACAACTGCTCTTAAAGAGTTACAGTATCCAACCCAATGCTATATAATAAAGCAATCATCTAGCATACAAATCAGCTCAATTTTCTTGCAACCCAATTCTATACAAGACCAAGAAAGAACAAAAAGAAATATTTGCTTGCAACTTAAGCCACTGTCACAAAAAAAATCAGCTCAATTTAGCATTACATGAACATGAACAACACCAATTCAACGCGTAATTTTGTCCAAGATTCAGATATCCACCAAATTTCACTAATCACTTTCATTCCAGACAGAAATTAAAAATTCAGAAAGAAACCACCACAATTAAAAATTCAGAAAGAAAATACCCCAACTAATTTAATCAAACGCCCGATTATTTCAATTGTTCATTCCCTTTTCAATAATTATGTAAGTTTTTGAGGTTGAGAGTGACTCAATAGAGATAACACCATCAGCCCCAATCTTGCCAATGGCTTCAGCAAGAATACTCCAAGCATAGGCTTAAAGCCACACCTGCCCGTAATCTTGGCAGAGCAAAAGCAGCAGCTACAGCATATCAAAAGCAGCAGCTACGGCAGAGAAAAAGTAGCAGCAACAGGGGTGCACTGCATGGAAGCACAGCAACAAATTCAAGCTTATTCAATCAAAAGAAACCCAAAACTGATCAAAATATACCTATACCACAATCAAGAAATCAATCAAAATGTACCCAAACAAATATATACCTAAAAAATCAAAATTATATGACAACTAATATAATATTCACAATACATCCACAGATCAAACTATTGAAATTCAAGATTCAAGCATCAAATACTCTATAAACTCACAAGTCAAATACTCCGTATACCCATGATTCAAATATTCCGTATATTCGCAATTCCAAAAGCTAAAATGAACAAAATCCTAAATCATTTATAATTATTGAAACAAATTAACAAAGCCCTAGATCAATTGCAAAAAATAAAATTCTAGCATTTGGTCTATGTAGTGAAGAGCTGACATCCAACTTAAATATTTGCTTTTTTCAAATGCTTCTTAGTATGCTGCACAACTAGCAAAAACTTGCACTAAACAGTCACTCCAACCTTTTGCCAGGCCAACATCTAGAATCTCAAGCCCTATATGCACTACACCACAAACTTTGTATCTATTTTTGTTTTTTGATATATTTTTCTTCATAGTATTTAGTAACCATGCATATGAAATTTTATTTTCTTCTGTATACTTAAATAGTTTACAATTTTAGGTTTCTTTTTAAGTTCTTTTGACAAGGGCCTTTGCTTTTCTGTTTACTGAAGTGCGTTATAGGTTTTGTGATTAATTAGTAAAATATCAATTAACCATACTCATGGGAAAGTTTGTGGATGCTATAGATTCAATCTCATCACTCGGAGAGTTTCAGCAACAATCAAAGCCAATCCTTTCTCAACACTTCTGTAAAGACTTGTTTTTTATTCTATACATGTAAAGAGAATATGATGAAGAAACTGGAGGGACAAGGGAGAATAATAACACCACAGAGGGGGGCTATGATGAGGAAGGGCGACAAAAAGGTCAATCACTTGAACTTCAAGATGCATCTTTGGATACTGAACCATTGAACGACGAGGAACTCATGACTGTAGCAGAGAATGAAGACCTTAACATTTCATCAGGTTTGATTTTGTTATCCCTTAATACATATATATATGACAATATGTTTCAAGTCACGTCAATTCACTACCCAATGAGCTTATGCTTGATACAAGTGCTGCTAAAAAAAAAAAAAGAGGAACGATATATTGTAAAAAGCTTACCTTGTTACCTCCTGGGGAAAAACTGAATGTGGAGTTTGACGATGATGATGTTGCTATTGGTGATAATGCTTCATTATTTTCGTTCTTCTTGGGTCAACAATTTCGAAATAAAGCTGTATGTTCTGTACAAGTTAAATGTTGGGACGAGTATAAATCTGAAACATTAGACCATTTGTGGGCTTGCATCACGGTAATATGCTATCATAATAAACATGTTTACGAGGTTTTTTTCTTTCTCTTATTAACAATGAAACATTGTCAACTTGATGTATGAGCATTAATTAATTTATTTCTGTCTTTTGCAGGAGAAGTGGTCAATTGATGACCCTGTAAATAGGCGGGAGTGTGTTATAAAACATGCACAACGTTTATTTAGTGGTGCTAGGAGCAAATTGAAATCAAAGTACTTTAATGATAAAAACTTGAAAACAAAAGAAGAACGTCTCAAAAATAAGCCTAGTCATCTGACTAAAGTCGAATGAAAGTTCTTGGTTGATTATTAGAGTGAAGAGACGATTATGGTAAAATACACATATAGTATATCTTTATTCTTTTATTAATTAACATATATTATTGATTAAATCCGTTTTACTGTAGGAGAAGAGAAAAAAAGCAAGTGAAAGTAGGGCACATCAAGAGATGCCTCACTATAACGGCACTAAAAGCTTTGGTCGCACTAGACAAGAAATAGTATGTAAAAACTATTCTTTCTAGTTTTAACTTTTAATTTTATGACCTGCTGTATGTGTGAACATGGTGGAAGGAGGTGGCTCATTACACCCCCCCTCCCTGCCTGCACACCAGCCCTGACACCCTCCTGCCACCCTCTCCCCTCCTGCCAGATGCCAGATGCAGCTACCTGCACATACATGCATATGTACCCTCCCTACTTGCACACCAGCACCCCTTCCCTGGATTACAAACGTACATTAATTAGGAGTGTAATTTGATTCTAAAAACACTGTAATGTTTGTAGAGGAAGAAGAATGGCGGGAAGTGTTCTCGAGTTGATGTATTGGTTGCAACTCGTACAAGAAAATCTGAGAAGGCTGTGAATGCATTAAATTTGGCAAATAACACCCATACAATAGTAAGTTTATGAATTTTATGTTTGTTATTTTTCATTTAACATTTACTATCTTGTCTTCTAACTTAATATTGTTTATTCATAGGATGAGATAAACAAATTGAAAGAACAAAGAGAGCAAGGTCTTAATGAGAAAACAGATGAGCAAATTATTCAGGATGTGCTTGGCAAAGATACACATGGGTCTTTGAAAGCTTATGGACCTGGTAGAAGTATTACACAACATTTTAAAGTAAAGCCCTCTCAAATTGATCTTACTCAAGAGGTGAATGAAGTTAAAAAGAAAGCAGATCAAGCAATTGAAGATGCAAGAAAAGAAGCTGAAAATGCTAGAACAGAAGCAAAACAAGCTAAATTAGAAGTTGAACATGCCAAAAAAGAGGCGGAAGCTGTTAAGAATGACGTGGACAGAAAAATTGCTGAGAACAATGCAGTTTGGGAGAAAAAGTTTAGTCAACTTCTGGATTTTCTTGGAGCAGGAAGTTCATCAGATACTGATGATTTAGGAAGTCAAGGTTCAAAGGAATGAAGTAAGTAATGCTATCTTCACCTGTTATGCATTATAAATGTTTTTTTTATATTCAATACGATTGTTGACATTTTTTAAAGCTAAAGAATCTTGACCTCTTACGATTGGCTTATAAGCCTTACTAAAACCTAAAATATTCTTTTAAAACCTAATATATTTTTGAAACATGTTTTATTTTCTTAGAACATGCTGTATTATTTTGTAAATACTGTATTTATCAAAAACTTGTTTGGAAACCTGTTAATCAACCTTGGTACCAGGAGTTTTTTTTTATTTTTTTTTATTTTTTTATCCATGACATATCAAAGCTAACAACAAGAAGTTAACTTACTTATAGAGACTTGCTTTACTAAAATACATAACTTGAAGATAAACTAAAAAATAAACAAATAAAAGGCACTAGACATAACAAGCAATTAAGCTATCCTAAGTACTATAATTGATTCTCACAAATCTTAGCATTGTGATAAATAGAAGATTTATAACTTGAAATAAGATATAAATCTGCTTTCAATCCTAATTGTAAATTCACAAAATCATTATTTATATTTTTTCAGTTTTTAAACTGTTCAGTCCTAATTGATTCTCACCAATCTTAGTACTTCTCTTTGCACTGTGATGAACAAGTATATACGTAATTTAGTATATGCAGGTTCAGGGAAGAGGGGCAGCGCAAGAAGGGGAGACAATGTAGGGATGGGGGAGCAACGTAAGGAGAATTATAGTTCATGGGGGTGGTGCAGGGAGGGGCAGTGTAGAGATAAGTTTTATTGCAGGGTGCAAGGAGGGGAAAATGAAGGAAGGGTATTTAGGCGGTGCAATGTAGGAAGGGGGCAGTGCAGGTGGTGCAGGGAGGGGGGAGGGGCTAGGGGTTGTGCAGGAGGTGGGCAGTGCATGAACACAGTTAGTGCAATGAGGGGAGGCATTAATAAGATTTGAAAGTTATAATTTATGAGCTTAACGTAAATGGTTGTATATTTTGTGTCAATTTGACTTTTTCATTTTGAAAACATATCTTTTTTTTTGTGCTCTTTTTGAAAACATATTAACTTGATCATTTATCTATTTATTTATTGTAGGTGACAAGGAGCGGAGCGCAGACATATTGTCACATTGTACGTATAGAGTATATATTGTTCTTTAGCAAAACGATTTGAGTGTTTTTTTTAGTAAGAGTGAGCTAGTGATGAGACAATGAGACAATTGATTTCTAGTATGTTTGTATGTATGGGTATCGAATTCAAGTATGTTTGAATGTCAAGTGAATTTGTTTGCCACGTACATACCCATGGCATAAAAATCGAAATTTGCCACAACTCCATTTTCCCGTGGCAAATTTTCTAGCCACGGCCTCTTGTGTCACGGGAGTAAATTTCAAAATTCCCGTGGCTACACTACATTGCCACGAGAAATTTAAACTTGTGCCACGATTTTACTCGTGGCACAAAGGTGAATTTGTTGTAGTGGTTTAAGGACGGATCGAGAACTTAGTATCATGTATAAGTTACGAAACCTTGACCCTGTTTTGATCCAATCTTTACACTTGTAATATTGGGGAGCAGACTTATCACAGGTGTTTACATAGTTTTGACTTGCATCAAGGTGGTGGGATTTTGAGTGGAGAGTTGGTTATTTGGGAGCAGACTCATCACAAGTGTTTACATAGTTTGGACTTACCACTTTGTAACACCCCAAAGAGAGAATTATTGGGGTGTTACAAAGTGGTATCTGGGAGCTTAGGTTCGATCTAATTAACACTAAAGTCAATTTAAAGTTTTTGGGCGCCTGACGAGGTTGAGACTAGGTCGATGAAACTAACCCCTACCCAAGGCCAAACAAAATTTGTAAACACTCAACACACCCCTACACAAGTATAATGGTAAGTTGAGGGTCGAACCTAAAGGAATGGTGGGCGATTATCTTTTATCTATGGTCAAGCTATTCCGAAATGTAATGATTGGGTGTGAATGTTATGCTAGGACAAAGATGACTAATAAACGAGAAGAAATCAAATGTAATAAGCACTAGGGCTAGGATCCATATGTAATCATAACGGATTCAACTAATTGGGAGGTCAAATTGACTAAGTCAAGCAATGTGAGGGAAAATCAATCATGCAACCAAGAGAGCATATCAAGCTATTCTCCTAGAGGTCTAACTAGCGTCAACTACGATAAACTCTAGCTAGGAAACATGACAAGACACCTCAATCGATAATTGCAAGCCACAAATCAATGGTCCCTATCAATGCGAACTTACAATGCAATCTAGTGCAACAATCAAAGTTAGCTACTCTTTAATTAATCACACACATGCACATGATCATCAACCAATTTAATCACATAGTCAACTCCATCAATTTCCCCAATTGCTTTAATCCATTACTCATGCATGCTTCACTGTTGCCCTAGCAAGCAATCTACTCACTAGCCATTGAAATCAAAATCAAAACAACACTAAGCAACAAATTCATCATGATCAAATCAAACAAGCTAAAATCAAACACAAATCAATCAAACTTGAACATTCAACAAACAATTCAAATCAAACTAAATATCAAACCAAAGATTGCATTAAAGAAAAGGAATACTTACAAACTTGATCAAAAATCAAAGGAAATGGAGAAATCTTCAATCATCAACAATCCACCATGAAATTCTCTCTCTAAAAATCTAGAGTTTCTCTCTCTACAAATCTCTCTAATTTTTTTTATCTAAAACTGATTCTAATTCTATTCCAATTCTTCTCTCTCCGAAAATAGAAGGAAAAACTATATATAGGAAAGATACAAAAGAAGGGTTAGTTAAATCATCCCAAAAGAAACCCCGGAAGGCGCGGTCGCATCAGAGAAGAGGCGCGGCCGCGAGAAAAACGGTACGGAACAGGGGCCCTGGCAGGCGCGCCCACACCCACACTAGGCGCGCCCGCGCCACCCAGGTGCGCGACCGCACCTGGCAGCAGGGGAGCCCCTCCTTTTCTTCGTCCAAGCTCATCCTCGTGCGCTCGTCTTTATGATGATGATGAACACTAGTGTAGGCAGTCTTGAAAGGGCCATTTTGGTGGGTTCATGGCAAAGATGACGCCCCTACCGCATACGTGCACCGATCTCTTGACTTGCTCTTTGCGTTCCTCCAAAAGGCGAACATGAGGCATCCAAATTGATGAGAAATATGAGAGGAGGGCTCGGGAATCCTTGGAAACACGATCATAACCTAAAAACAAACGAAAACAAACAAACAAAAGGGAAAAAGAACAAATAAACAAAGAAATGCACAAAACAAGGAAACTAACTATGGAAAGCACAAACTAACGAAATAAAGAACAAAACTAAGGAAAAACTAAGGAAAAGGGCTATAAAATAGCATGAAAATCATCTTAAAGGAGGTCAAATGAGTGCCATAAATGACACTCATCAAATTCCCCCAAGCTAAACTTTTGCTCGTCCTCGAGCAAAACAAAGCAAGAAAGAATAAGGATGAAAGACTTATTCAAAAAGAAAAAGAAAGACTCAAGATGAGAATATACACTAAGATTCACTGTCGTAGGAATCACGGTTGTTTTTAACTACAATAAGCCATTTAAACCCCTAGATCGCCCTAGAGGACGAGTAATGCTCTCGTAACGGTATCCTAAGATTTTACCAATAACTCTTTCCCAACATCCAAGAGGCAAAACCATAAAAAGAAAAGAAAAAGGGAAAAGGGAAAACAAAACCTTTGCGAAATGGACTTACAAAGAGACTACAATGCAAATGAATGAAAATCTTTCTCAAGTAGTCAAGGTATACACGTTCCAAGATATCCAAAGTTGATTGAAACATAAGGTATGCTAAGCATAGGAACTAGACATCACAATCCACATTCATCCCAATCGATCTTACCGCGTTCTCCCCACTAGTCTCAAATCTCCCCTTAGCGATCATCCCATTGATTCCTCGAAGGAACCGGAAAAAGAGATTTATTTAGGCTACTCGACAATCTTGACTATGCATCCCCTTTCCTTAGGCAATGACCCATGATTCCCTCCCCCGAATAGTGACTCAACTTCTAGGTCGAAAGGGCTTTCCCAAAGGTTGTAACGTAAGGCATAAAAGGTGAAGGTAGGCTAAAATTTAAAATTTGGTGGTTTTCCTAAATAGTGAAGCAAAAGGGTGATCAATCCTTAACATCACGATCAAGAAATCACCAAACAAAGACGACAACACCCCCAAGCTTATTCAAAGCTATACTCACAAGAATATGTCACAAAGCGTAAACGCTTCTTCCCCAAGCTTAAATGAAGCATTGTCCTCAATGCTTAGAAGGAGAAAAGAATACATCAAAATGTTTTTGAATTTTTCACTTTTCCAACTTTTTGGTTTTTTTTTTATTTTTTTTTATTGTAAAGCTTTGGTTTGTCCTTGCCTTTTTCTAAATTTGGACGACTTTTTTTTTTATATTGCACCTATTTGTCCATGCCTCTTTTAATGTAGGACGGCTTTTACTCATACTCATATGCCATTATTCACAAAGAAAACATAATCACAAGCTTGCATCAATGGAACCACATATTCCAACTATATCACCACAAACTCCATCAAGAATGATCAATTGCTTCACAAAAACAAGAAAAGAAAGAAAATGAAACAAAAGGCCAAAGATCTAAAGATGTGGCTGGAAAAGAAGGAAATAGGCTCAAATGGTTGCAAGAAGGCAAATGTAAACCCAAAAAAAATATTAAACAAACTGTCCTAAAAATTAAAAATACCACCCCGAAAAAGGTGCATTTGTCCTCCCTACATAGCTCGGTCTCGGGTTTAAGAATCATAAATCAAGCTTTATGGATTAGGTTTGCAATAGTCAAGGATCTACGCCGCTCATACAAAATAGGTTGAAGGCTTGAAAAAAAAAACGATGAACCTCACATGGATGTAGCAAAAACTCACTGGTGGTGTCAAATCGACTATAGGGAGCAACTACCAACATGCCACAAACAAGTAGAATCCGGCTTCATGATCCTCCTAGTTCAAACCAATTACCCTAGCATACACCTATCCTAGAGTTAACCAAGCATAGTCTCAAACCGTGCATACCTTTACTACCTAGTAAGAAATTCATGCAAAAGACAAAGTCTAATGTACAAAGTCCAATTCATAAGGAAAACAAAAATGAAAAATAAGCCTCAAAATCATACCATATACCAAAACAAAAACAAAGTAAAAATAAGGGAAAAGAAAAATAAAAGGAAAGGAAAAGAAAAGGAGAGACATAGATAAAGAAAGAATAGGAAAAATTGAGAAAGGAACTAGAAAGCAAGTTAAACACATATATCCCAATCGACATACAAGTGATCGAATGACAACATCGTCAACGATCCCAAACACATTACGTGTTAACAAGCAATCATCCTCGAACCGTTCAACTTCCCCTAAACTAAACCTAATCTATGCATCCAAAGAAAGTATAGAGAAAAATTAGAAAGGTCTCATCGGGCTATCCATGCTTAGCATAATAAACAAAGGTGATAGAAAGAACCACCTTCGTTGCGCTCCAAAATCGTAAGCATCATCAAAAAGCCATATGAGAACAAGAAAAGTAAAAGAAGCTATAAACAAAGAAAAAGGTTAGTAACTTCAAAACAAAAGAAAAAGATACTAAAAAGTAAAACTAAACGAAGCTAACAAAAACACTAAACAACTGAGCAAAACTAGGCTAACAAAAACCAAAATGGAACGGAAAGAAAAACTAAGTAAACAACTAACTAACTAAAAGGCACTAAACTACAAGATTTGGATTCAAGGGTTTTGGATATAAGGGAGCAAGAAATAATCAACATCATCACAAGGAAATCATCACAACAACAATGGAAAAACAAACTCATGGGACTAGCAACAAGCAACAACAAGACTGGAGACCAAGATAAAAAAAACCATCATGCAAGAGGCGAATAAAATTCAAGGTAAGCAACAACAACAAGTATTGGCAACCGAGATACAAAGAAGTTCCCCCAAGCTAAACATGAATACATCTCAACATCCCAACAATACAAATCAAGAACATAAACATAAGGGATGGAGGTAAGAGGTACAAAAGAGAGGGAACTAAGATTCATCATTACCACCACCACTTGGCCCGACCTCATTAGAATCATTGTTGCCCATGTAGTCTTGAAGGTTGGGGGTGAGTAAGGAGCCCAACCTCCGGTGAATCCCTCGGGCCAACCATAATTCCCCTTGAAGTTATCTTGTTGCCAAGGGGCAAGAGATGTGAATTTCTCGGGCAAGGTAAGATCAAATGGATGGTTAGGGTGCACATAGGGAGAATAAGGGTCACCCCTATAGTCACACCCTCCGGGAGCACGGTAATCGTA